AGACTTCCCGGTGAACTGAGCCTTAGAGCCGACGTAGTCCATCCCGACCCTGCGGCCGTCCACCTCCACTCCATCCATGGACGACTTTACCTCCTCAACCTTAGCTTCACTCTCAAACTCTACAAACGCAATCCTACAGGGGAGGGAATGGTTGGTTGAAATATATTTAGAGCCTGTCCTTTAAAGACATCCAATGCGATTTCAGGGCAGCAAAAACTGGAAATATTCTGAATAAGGCAATCTTTGTGATACTGACACATACTGCTTCATATTAGCACATTTAAATCAGCATTTCATACTAAAGGCTTTTAAACAAGCCCCAAGATGAGTCCTTTACTTTCTTGGTGGTACGCTACAAATCAGCCCAGGGCCCTTCCAGTAATCATTTTCCGTCAGAATTTTTGCTCCATAAACATTGGGACAATGTGGTTCAACTGAGTATGTAGATAATTGACTAGAATATTGGCTTTGAAAAATTGCACGCCCTAAAAACTGCATCAGTTGCCTTTAATATCCAGTCAGTCAGTCAATTTTCTCTGAGTCTGATCATGAAAATTGTTCCTTTGAGAAGAGAATGATATTTCTTACCAGGTTTCCAGATGATGAATACTATAGTTAATAAGTTGCGTAGCATTCCTTTGTTTATGATGAAATGGTTTATTGAGGATAAAAACCCTGGCAGCCTTACATAGGCTGAATTGTGGTTCTTTCACAATTCAATCATCTTAGACAACATAATACAGAATTCTTATCACGTAGATTAAAACAGGAATGTACGATCATTCAATATATTAAAATCAATTGGTGACTACATTTTAAAACGTTTTACTTATAGATAAGCTATTTTATATACATGGAGGCCGCACGGAAATTTACATGTTATCATTTAGCAGTCGTACGCAGAAGGGAAAAGTGCTGTTCTGATACCGAGCAGTTCTGCATTTGTACTGAGTAAAAGAGTTGCTATTTCTGAGAGTTCTGAGGTGAGTATCACCCCGTCTAGGTGGCAACCATTCACGGTACTTCTCAGAGTTAAGAAGTGAAGTTGCGAATCTTAGGCACAGTTCCTGTCGTCTAGCGTCAAGACGGCTGAGACCAGTAAGGTTCAGAGCAGATTATTCATTTAAACACTAAACTCACCCCTTGGGCCGTCCGCTGTCCTTGAAGACCGGTATACGCACGTCTACGGCGTCTGTGAAGACCTCCATCACACTCTCCTTCGTGGAGTCGTACGACAGGTTCTTCAGGAACAGGGTACGGGCATCTCGGTCATCTGGAAGGATGGAAATATGTAGAGTTTACTTCCTTGTAGTTTCGAAAATAGTTTCACCAGGTTGGTAAAGCCTAGGATACAGGGATTTTATTGTACACAACCAAGATTGTCTCTTACTTTGCTTACATTTCATGCGAGAAGCAGAACTCCAGTCAAAAGCTCTGAGGAAGGTGTCTGACAGACACCAAATGTAAGCAAGGCTAGAGACAACACTGATTGTGTACAAGAAAATCCCTACATAATAGTATATTGTTTGTAGTTTGTACTACAGAATAAAGAAACAATCAGATTATGGTCAAGACCTCTCATGGGACAAATAAACTCTGACCTATGTGGACAGGTGGTCACTATATATGGACAGGATTCTTAATGTCAATGGGAGAAATTATCTAAGGGACCAGCCGTCTTACTGTCGTTTCCAAAGTTCTGGCCTGGGCTCTTTGGTTCTTGTTTCTTGCTCTTTGCCTTCTCAACCTTCAGCTCTGTCCCTGCCAGAGTTGCACCGTTCAGTTCCAGGGCTGTGGCTTCCTCAGCTGCTGGTACATCCACATAGGCCAGGCTGTGGAGGGGAGGGAGGAGCAACTATTATTAGATGAGCCTTGAAATTTGCTAGATACAACTGTCATGGGTACAATTCTCCATCATTTGACAGATTAGTGTGTTAATTCTAGAGAACGTTTGCATGTGAGCATGTGTGTGTTTGTGTATACCTGTGTGTGTGTTTGTACCTGTGTGTGTGTACACGTGTGTGTATGTGTGTGTGCATGTGAGCATGTCTGTGTGTACCTGTGTGTTTGTGTGTGTGTACCTGTGTTTGTTTGTGTGTGTACCTGTGTGTGTCTTTCAACTTTTCTTTAAGATGACTTACCTTACACCTGAAGACTTTGTGAGGTACCGAAGATCCAAGACCTCCAGCCCCTTCTTCTTAAAGAACTTGCGCAGCTTTTCTTCCGTGACCTTCTCAGTCAGGTTGCCTACAAACAGGGTCGACTGTTCACCTGGTGCGAGGGGGGCAGACAGACAGATTAGTCTTACTCTATTCCTGCAGTTCCTACAAGATCTGGCAGAGGGAGTAGGGCACTTACTGCAGATTCCAACAGAGGGGGTAAAATCTCCAATCTCAGCTTGCCTTCTTTGCTCATTTGCCAAGGCTGAACCTTTGTTTATAGCTAAGGGTATGTGAAGATAAGTAATAAAAATAATTTTTTGGAAAAGATGATAAGAAAATCACTTAATGATTACTAATTCAGTTGATTGATAGATGAACATAGAGCTGTTGTGTTAACCTTCCTGTGACACAAGATTTCTTTATGCTTGATTACGTAAAGCAAGATTTTAGCTGGTGTGTTATGCTGAAGGGCCGTTATACCAGCTATAAAGATCTGCAGATCTGATCTACAATTTTGTACCTTCGACTTTGGCCTTCTTGGCAGGGGACTCTTCCTCGACAGCTGCCTTGGCTTTTCTCTTGCCAGCCTGGGGAGTTTCCTCTTCTTCTTCTTCCTCCTCCTCATCTTCTTCATCATCACTGTCCTCTTCTTCATCTTCCTCATCACTATCCTCCTCCTCATCTTCATCATCATCATCTTCATCTTCATCACTGTCATCTTCATCTTCTTCTGAACATGTACAGAAATTGAACTTTACTTTAAGCATCAATCTGACAGTGTGTAATGTGCATGCCACTTTCTGACTTTCTTTTTACCTTGCTATTACCAGAAAACTACAGTTATAACTTGTCCCTGAAGGTTAAATCTAACAAATTTGATCTTAGAAGTGACTTGGCATTTTATACCTTCTGCTTTTGCTTTCTTGGCGGGAACAGCTGCCTTGGTCTCAGCCTTACGTTTGGTGGCCTGGGGAGCCGGGGTCTCTTCCTCATCTGCATGGATCAAAATTAAACAACATGATGAAATTATACAGTGGTCGAAATACTTTTTTTCAGTGCTCTGCAATATTGCAGAAGAGTCAAAATTTTGTTCTGCAATTTGGAAATACTTTCTGCAAATACACAAGCCTCTATACTACAATCTTGCAAGTTTATAAGCATGAACTATTGATTGATATGCAAATTAGTGAAGACAAATTTTTGGAAGTTCAAAAGGAAACAAAAGACAAACAAGTCAAGACAAGGTTGATGTAAATTAGTGAAGAAGCTCCTGTTGTTTCAGAACAGGAACTTAAGTGTTGTCTGCCCTTGGGGCCAAGAGCACCAAATCCCAAGTGCCAATTTTTCCTGCTGCAAAATTGCAGATTGTATAAATTTTTCTTCTGCAATCTTTGAAATCTATCTGCAGATTGCAGACTGCAGACAGGTATTTCGAACACTGATATAGCAGTGGTTCAGAGCACATTTTGATTTTAAATGATCCTACAATAGCATAGCCAATCATGTCAAGTTCTTTCAATACACTTTCCCTCTAAAACATTGGTTCAGACAGAAAACATATGCTAGTTATTCATACCTTTCATAACAAAAATAACTTAAATTAATCTTAGGATTTCCATTCAGGAAAGCTAACAAAACCTTCTTTACCTTCATCTGACTCTTCCTCACTAGATTCTTCTTCATCTTCATCATCATCATCACTATCCTCCTCCTCTGCCTGTTTAGCTGCAGCCTTTCCGTTCTGACCTTTCACCTCTTCTTCTTCTTCACTGTCATCCTAACAAAGAGCAAGGTTTTTGAAATTATGAGTCATGACATTCTGGGCTACAATATTCAATATTCTATCAAAAATGACACTGTCATCAATTCTCCATCTCCTAAGAGACAAGACTTTCAAGCATACCTCATCCTCCTCATCGTCATCACTTTCATCTTCATCATCATCTTCCTCATCTTCATCACTGTCCTCATCACTGTCATCATCTGCCACAGCTACAGCTTTGGCTGGCTGTGCCTTTGTTGTCTGTGTAGAAAAAAAATTCTCGATGTTAGTTTGGAGTTAGTCTATAAGGCCACACCAATTTAATTTCTTGGTTAACGGATTCGCCGCTTCGTTTTTTTCTGATTTGCAAATAAAAATAAAAATTTAGAATCAACTGCAAAATGCTCATATTTTGCCCTGAACAGTTGAAAACAGTCCTTTTCTTCCTAGTTATTACAGTTATTCCATCTTTCAATGCAGTGCTACCATCAAAAGTTCAAAATTCATTGTTTAAATTTTGAACCAGCCTGCTGTGTTGACTTCATGGCTCCTATCGTACCATTTTGGGCCATAATACTAATAGGATGTCTAGGCCTGTTTTTATTTTTATTTTTTTTCGCCCGCCCGCTCCATTATTTTTCTAGAAAAATCCGTTAACCAAGAAATTAAATTGGTGTGGCCTAAGAACAAAGGAAAAGATTACGCAAGAGATTCTTACATCAGCATGAAAGTTCATCTGAGTTGGTAAATTACATTATGAAAAACTTAAACTGGGTCAGATAGCTGAGGAAGACTGAGTGATTCAGTCGAAAATTTCTGGTGAGTCAAATTTTGAGTTGGAGAACAGTTTAAGTTTTTCATAATGTAAGAGATTCTTATTTCTTTCAAAGTGTACAAATTCAACATCCGTGAATAGTTTCATCAGGTAAGTAAGTCACTGAGTAAAGCTCTTTTTTACACAACCAAGTTTTTTATTCAG